ATTATTATTATTATTATTATTATTATTAGTGTTCTATGACTGGCCTAGGCAACATGACAAAATCTTATCTCAAAATAAATACATAAAAATTTAATAAATTAAAATTTCCATTTCTGGGGCTTGTGAGATGGATCAGCAGTTAAGAGCACTTATTGCTCTTCCAGAGGACCCAGGTTTGGCTCCCAGTACCCATATGGCAGCTAATACCTGTCCATAATTCCAGAACCAGGAGATCTCACATCTTCTGGCCTCTGCTTTTCAAGTGCTGGGATTATGATATGGGCCGCCATGCTTGGCCATCCTATTTCTTTTTGTCAGTGCTGGGGATAGAACCTAGGACCTCCTACATGCTAGGCAGAAGCTCTGCTACTGGCCACACAAACTCTAGACCTACTGTTTTGCTTGATGATCTCAAAATACTGTGAAATTAACAGGAGTTTTTCCTAGTTCTTGCATTTTCTAAAGAGAAATGGAAATTTTAAAAATATTTGTTATCTGAAGAACCTAGATGGGAACAGAATAATATCTTTCATCATACCCATCACTCAACATTTTTTTGAAAGAGAGTTTTTTTGTGTCTTTTTTTTTTTTTTTTCCTTTTTTCTTGTCTTTTTTGAGACAGTCTCCCTGTAGCCCCAGCTAGCTTGGAACTCACTATTGTAGACCAGGCTGGCCTTGAACTCACAGAGATCCACCTGTCTCTGCCTCTTGAGTGCTAGGATCAAAGGCGTGCACCACCACGCCCGGCTGCAAGAAAGTTTTTTTTCCACATTACAAAAAAGTCCCAGTTGGGTTTTTCAGGCTGAGAAGAGCATGGAATATCTTTACCCTCCTATCTGAAGTCCCATTAGGACTTCAATTATCATGTTAACGAAATTAGCATTGGAAGCCTGTAAAGGTATGTTCAGATTTGCATTCTGAAACTCTTTTGTGCATGGTGCTGGGATCAGACTCAGGCACTTGTTCCTACTAACCCAGGCAGCACTCTACCAGTGAGCTCTTTTTCTTTTTCCTTTTTTTTTTTTTCTTTCTTTTCTGTTCTGGGTATTGAACCCAAGACCTTGCACATGCCAGGTAATTGCTCTACCAACTGAACTGTATATAGCCCTTTTTCGAATTTTTTTAAATTTTTTTTTAATTAAAAGAAGCATTTCATTACAACAGCATTAACCTATTCAATAACATTTTTCTGAGCTAGGGTACATCTCTTTCAAAATTGGCTGTACATTTCTAGGTTTACAGATGAATTATTACGCTTATATAATCTTTTACTCATTATAAACTCTATAAGACATAAAATTAAATGTGGTTCCAACGTTTAAAAAAGATCTCCACTTCGTTGTCAAAACACACAGTTTCATACAGAAAAATTCATTTCAGGGCTCTTGACATTGAGACGTTTTCACATGCATTTCTAATCTCTATATGCATGACTATCACTGGTCTCAGTCGCCCACCTTCTGAGCTCCTCGGCATCTGAGCATGAATACAAACTCGTCAGGTAGACAGCCTTCCTCTCCCACTAGAGCCTCCATACTCTGCTATCCCTGCCACTGTCCACTGTGCTGTCAGCACCCCCATCCATTCCCCCCTATCTGCCCTTCTGGTAAGTCTAGTCAGCCAGAGGTCCCTGTTCCAGGAGGATCAGCTGTTCCTTATCAACGGCAATCCATTGTCAGTATTCCTTTGGATAGAATTGGGGTCTGCTGTTAATGTTTCCAGTAGTATGTTGGGTTACTGTCTGGAAGAGCGTTTATCCATCCTGGCCAAGAACTCGACTGAAGGTATCGCCTGTTTGGCTTTGCTGTTTGTCAAGTAACTTTTTCAGAATTTTAAGACTGTCATGCTAAGTTGTCTACATGGCTTTTGAATTTGCAGTCCTCCTGCCTCAGCCTCCCAAACCCAGCTCCTGGAGTCACCAAACCCAGCTCCTAGAATTTTAATGTTTTCTAGAATTTCACATTTCAGAAATTCAGATTCCATAGAGTTAAAGCCTTGAGAAGAAATACCTTCCTGGGGCAAGAAAAATGGCTCAGGAAGTAAAGCGCTTGCTATACAAGCGTGAGGATCTAAGTTCCTCCTATAAAAAGCCAGGTGCAGTAAAATGCACCTGTGATCTTAGAAGGTAGATGCAAGAGGATCTCTGAGTCTTGCTGGCAAGTTTGTATAGCCAAATTGCTCAATTCCAGACTTCAGTAAGAGACCTGTGGTCTCAAAAAATAAGGCAAAGAGCAATGTAGGAAAACACCTCACTGTGGCCTACAGGGGTACACATACACATGAACACATACCTATGGGAAGAAATGCATAAACACAAAAAAAACAAGGTAGATGCTTTCTGAATAACAATACCTAAGGTAGCCCTGTGACCTGTGCACACATGTGCCACTCCCCCACACACACTCTCACATACATGAACATACACAAAACAAAAATAGATACCTTCTGTGATGTATATCCTATTTTAGATTATTTCTTGAGTAATTAAAAAGATACCCTAGCTGGGCCTGGTGACTCAAGATTGTAGTTCAGCTACTTGGGAGCCTTACACCAAGAGGATCACCAGTTCAAGGCCTGCCTAGCTAAATGGGGGGTGGAAGGGGATTACAGCTCAGTGATGGAACACTGAGGCCCTAGTCCCTCAATTCCTAGTGCCACCACTTTGAACTTTTCTTGACCAATTTGAACTTTTTCTACTTACATTCCCTATTAGTAGTTACCCAACCAAGGGTGAAGTGACCTGTCTTTTTCTATCTTTGTCCTTAGGAGCCAATGAAGTGCTTCTGGTGGTTGGGGGCTTCGGAAGCCAGCAATCGCCTATTGATGTGGTAGAAAAATATGACCCCAAGACTCAAGAGTGGAGCTTTTTGCCAGTAAGTCATGGTGGAACCATTTGTGGCAGAGTTTAAATGGCATTCATCCCTGACTCTAGATAACTGATCCAGCTTTGAGATAGAAAAGCTTCAGAACAGTATAAAGTTACTTAAGTGTGACTAGGTCCCCAGTAAATGCTTTTTCTTTTTCTTTTAGGTGGTAGTAGTGTTTTTTTCAGTTTTTTACCCCCTTTTATTACATTTCCATTTATTTTGTGTATGTGCCTGAACATGTAGGTTTCTGTGTGCTGTGTGTGTGCCGTATGTGTGCGTGCATGTGTGCACATGCACACTCAGAGGACAACTTGCAGTTCTCTCCTTCCATGTGGGTCTCAGGAATCAATGTCAGGTCATCATCCTTGGCAGCAGGTGCTTTTTCTCACTCTGCCATCTCACTGGTCCTTGTTTTTGTTTTTTTTTTTTGAGTCAGAGTCTCACTCAGGACTTACTGTGTAGCCCAGACTGGACTCAAACTTAAAGGCTATCTTCCTGCTTCAACCGCCTGAGTGCTAGAATTACAAGTGTGCACTATACCTGGCTTATTGTTTGTTTTAATATTTTGTTATTATTTTTCTTTCATATATATGAATATATTGCCCACATGCACACAAGTATACCCATGTCATTGAATGCTCATGGAGGTCAGAAGAGGGCATCAGATCCCCTGGTACTGGAGTTATGGATAGTTGTTAGCTGACACATAGGTGCTGGAAACCGAACAGAGATCCTCTGCAAGAGCAGCTAGTGCTCTTAACTGCTGAGCCATCTCTGTAGCCCTTCTGGCTTGTTGTTTTGAGATAGGATCTTAGCTCTGACTGGCCAGATACTGTGTAGTCCTGACTGACCTAGTGATCCTCCTGTTTCAAGTTGACAAGTGCTGAGATTACAAGCATGCGCCACCACCATGCCCAGTTTAATAAACAGTTTTTGACTGTTCAGATTAGGTTTAACTACAGAAATGTTTGTGGCCATGTATCAAAATAAATTCAGTTGGCATCTATTTAGGCATCCAGCTCATGCTGTTGATCATACTATATTAAACTGAACTTGGGATCATTTTGTCAGAGTAATGTTCAACTGAACTATGAGTTTCTATTTTCCTTATTCATTTCAAACTGAATGAACAGTTAATAATTTCCGAGAAGACACAGAAATATCTTTTGAGGCCAGGTGTGGTGGTGCATGCCTTTAATCCCAGCACTCCTTTAATCCCAGCACTGGGAGGCAGAGGCAGTAGATCTCTGAGTTCAAGGCCAACCTGGTGTACATAGTGAGTTCCAGGCCAGCTGAGGCTGCAGGGAATATTAAAAAAAAAAAAAAAAAAAAAAAAAAAAAAAAGAAGAAGAATTCTCTTTTGAGCACTCTTTCTACCCTTTAAGGATCAGTAAGGATCACTCTCTTAGCCCACTGCTTTACAGAAAGAAGTAGAGAGCCCCGAAGTCTTTAGTAAACCTCAGAATGAGGCAAGTGTATCTTCAGAGCTTGCGTCTTTAGAGCACTATAGCAAGCATTTCATTCAGTAAGCAGTCATCTGGATACCATTTGAGGATGAACCATTACCCCAAAGAGGATTTATGGTAGCAGAGAAAGAAGCAAAGAAGATAAAAACTGGCAGGATAGCAAAAGGGCTAAAACTTGCCCAGCTGAAACTGTTCTTCTCTTCTAAATTCATAGAGCATCACTCGAAAGAGACGGTATGTGGCTTCAGTTTCCTTACATGATCGGATCTATGTAATTGGTGGGTATGATGGCCGTTCCCGCCTCAGTTCAGTGGAATGTCTAGACTACACAGCAGATGAGGATGGAGTCTGGTATTCTGTGGCCCCTATGAATGTCCGACGAGGCCTTGCTGGAGCTACCACCCTGGGAGGTAGGCTTGGTGACACGTGATATTTCTGTCTTCTTTTACCTGGATTGTTCTTACCTCTCTCACTGTCTGACTAAAGCAGGAAATATGGTGGATAAATTATGGTCACATACTTATTCTTGCTTTTGGAAATACCAGTGTTAATAGAATGTTCAGTATTTGGACATGTCAACACTGGCTACAAACTTGGCAATTCAAGTTCCAGGATGCTGTGTGGGAATGGGCATGGTTGTAGTTTACAAACTTCCATGGTAATCTTTAAATCCTTTTAAGATGTTTTGTTTTGCTTTGTTTTGTTTTGTTTTTTGGGTTTTTTGAGACAGGGTCTCCCTGTAGCCCCAGCTGGCCTGGAACTCACTACATAGACCAGACTGGCCTTGAATTCAGAGATCTGCCTTCCTCTGCCTCCCAAGTACTGGGACTAAAGGTGTTTGCCACCACCATGCCTGGCTACACTGTTCTTTTTAAACATCTTTTTTGTTTTTTTGTTTTTTTTCGAGATGAGGTCTCACTGAAACTCACTGTATAGCCCACCCTGATTTCTGATTTGTGGTGATTCTTCTGCCTGAGGCTCTTGGGATTACAGGCATGAGCTAGCATGCCAGGCTTTAGATGTCTTGATTGTGCTGTCTTTCTTGCTTTTGAGACTTAACTGACTTATCGAGGGGAAAATGCTCAATGTACAACACTTATTTCTACAAGAGTGTCTTTATATAATACTCTACCGTGTACAATGGATATAATATACACAATGACATTTTAAAAAATCAACTTGAAAAAAACTGTAAGGAATTTGTTGATTATTTGGGGAGTTTTTGAGGCAAGGTCTCATGTAGTTGAAGCTGTCCTTGAATTCACTAAGTAGCCAAAAATAGACTTGAACTCTTGATCCACCTCCTAAGTGCTGGGATTACATTCCTATGCCATCACCACCCTCAGCTTAACAATGGGCAATTTGTAGAGAAAAGAGTTCTTAAAAATCTCTCATTCTTAATTTAGTCTATAATTTGTTTGTTCTGAGCAGATATGATCTACGTCTCCGGAGGCTTTGATGGAAGCAGGCGTCATACCAGTATGGAGCGGTATGACCCAAACATTGACCAGTGGAGCATGCTGGGAGATATGCAGACAGCTCGAGAGGGTGCAGGACTAGTAGTGGCCAGTGGAGTGATCTACTGTCTAGGTATCTAGTATGGCATGCAGGGATGGAGAGAACTCAGTAGCTAGCAGACTCTGGATAGGATCCCCTTTATCAAAATTAAGTCTGTAGGGGTTGGAGAGTTGGCTCAGCAGTTAAGAACACTGACTACTCTTGCAGAGGACCTGGGTTCGATTCCCAGCACCCACATGGCAGCTATGAACCGTCCTTAACTCCAGTTCCAGGGAAATCCAAAGCCCTCTTCTGACCTCCGTGGCATTGCATGACACAGGTGCACTCAAATACATGCAGGCAATACACTCATACACATAAAATAAAAATAAAATATTAAAAAAAAATTAAGTCTGTATACTTGTTTCAACAAAAACTATGATCTTAATATACTATCCATTAACAGGATTATACTCTTATAAACAAAATGTAAGGTACTGTGATTTCTTTGTGTTCGTACTCTGAGAGAACTGAAATTAAAAGACTTAGTTGAATTACTCAAAGAAGGCAAATTGGAAATGAGCCTGAGAATTTACCTTTCTTTCTGGAATGATCTGTGCTTTGTCTTTCAGGAGGATATGATGGCTTGAATATCTTAAATTCAGTTGAGAAATATGATCCACATACAGGGCACTGGACGAATGTTACACCCATGGCCACCAAGCGTTCTGGTAAGAACAGACTGAGGAAGGGAATAACAATACTGTCAAATCTTGGCACATGCACCGATGGTAGAGTTACAGGTCATGATATCCATAGAGCAGAAGTGTAGTTCCTACTTCACTGTAAGCTTATTGTAAATATGAGTTAGATTCCAATCCCTTCTTTGCCTCTGTTTTCTATATTAGTGAGGATGTATCTAAATTTTCAGACCCAGAGTGGTGGTGCACATCTTTAATCGCAGTTCTTCAGGAGACAGAGGTAGGTGGATCTCTGGGTGATCAAGCCTAACCTGACTTTCAGGCCAGCCAAGGCTCCATAGTGAGACCCTGTCTCTCAGAAAAGTCTTAGGGCTGGAGAGGATGGCTCAGCAGTTAACATCACAGCAGCTGCTCTTGCAGAGGATGCAAGTTGTGTTTCCAGGACCCATGTTGGGTAACTGACAACTGCCTATAGCTCCACTTCCAGATCCGACACTCTCTGGCCCCTGTGGACACCAGCATTCACAAGCACATACCCACAAACAGACATACACATAATTAAAGATAAATTCTTTTTTTTTTTAAAGGATAGTTTAAACTTTCAACTGAATTACTAATTTGAGGGCAGAAGTTGTCTTACTCAATTTTTAAGCATTTTTTTTTTTGGATATCTAATTTTGTATATGTAGTACATACTAAATATTTTCAGTGTGTTTGGTTTTTTTGTTTTATATTTTATTTTTGTTGTTTTCTTTTGGGGTCTCATTTGGTTTGGAGATGGGGTCTTACCATGTAGTTCTAGCTGGCCTACAATGTGCTATGTAGAGCAGGCTAGCCTTGAACTTGTACTGATCCTCCTGCCTCTGCATCTCTAGTACACCACCATGTTGGTGATTTTTTGAGCTAGGATCTCACTCTGTAACCTTCATTGACCTCTTACAGTTCATGCTGTAGCCTCCTAAGTGCTGGTATTAACTTGACAATAAGTATCTATTAATTCATAAGAGCACAACCTCTTTATCTTTTTATTTGTTGTTTGTTCTGAGAACTGCAGAGAGAGTCTTGCATCTACTAGGCAAGTACTACACAGAGGTATATCCCAGTCTCAACAGAGAACTTCTTGATATGGAATAGACTACAGTGTAACAAAGACTAACAAAGAGAAAACACTGTACAATCCCGGTGTACTGCCTCTGGAAAGAAATTACACTAGAACCATAGCAACACTCCCTTGCTTCCCTTCATCTTTACTAACATTTTTTTTCCCTACTTGTTTCACCAACTAAAGAGAGGTGGACTCTGAATTTATGAAAGTGAAGAGGCCCATTTCAGTTTTTCTTTTATAGTTTCAAGTCCTAGCCAGAGGGTTTACTGATGGGATAACTTTTGCTGTGCTACATTATTCTAGGCCTGTCTGGATCACATCCATATCCCTCCGTCACAATTCAGCTAGCAATTGGTGACCATGTTTTGTTGCTAGGTTCAGATGCTAAGCTTTGTACCATTCACTTTCTAACACTCTGCTTGTCCCCAGGTGCTGGAGTTGCCCTTCTAAATGACCATATTTATGTGGTGGGAGGGTTTGATGGTACAGCCCACCTTTCTTCTGTTGAAGCTTACAACATTCGTACTGATTCCTGGACGACTGTTACTAGTATGACCACTCCACGATGCTATGTAGGAGCAACGGTGCTTCGGGGGAGACTCTACGCAATTGCAGGGTAAGAATTTTGGAAGCAGGGTAGAGTAGAATTATCATGCATCCAGGGCAAGAATGCATGTGACCCAGTCCCCATTTTGGATGGAGACATCATTTGGGTTGTTTGGGGAACAACTGCAGGAACTGCTTTCAACTTTTTTTTTTTCTATTACTGGAAATTGAACCTTACACATACTAGGCAAGTTCTGTACCTCTGAGTCATACCACCAGCTCCAATGACTACACTAATGTAGGATTTATATGCAAAGGAATAAAAAGCTCATTTATTTCTTTGCTTTTTCCTACTCAGGTATGATGGGAATTCTCTGCTGAGTAGCATTGAGTGCTATGACCCTATCATAGACAGCTGGGAAGTAGTAGCATCCATGGGAACCCAGCGCTGTGATGCTGGTGTATGTGTTCTCCGAGAGAAGTGACCATTATTTGAGGACCAGCTGAAGCTAATGACCACTCCAAGGAACAGGAACAGTTTGTGGGAGAATCAAGGATCCTTTCCAGATGTTTATTTCTCACTGTGTGCACAGGGTGATTACAGGCACCAGTGCAGTGATGATTGTACTTATTTGATACACGCTCCTTCGCACTGGTAATGTTGCTCATAAGGGTGGGTAACAGGTACTCAAGGGAAGAAAATGCATATTTAGATGTGAGAGACAAGATCACACACCCCCCAACCCCCCATGGTCTGGGGAGCACTTTCTTATTGTTTGTAACTTACCATGTGCTTGGGAGAAATATATATATATATATATGTGCACAATATATATGTATTTATATTGTGCCTCATATATCACAGAGAACTAAGGTAAGTATGGCCTGCTAGATGTAGACAGTGTCTAGCCTAGATGACTGGAAGGATACCAACTTGCATAGGCTTGGCACAATGAAAATTGTCTTTTTTCCAGGAACAGAAATACCTTTTCTGATACAAAGATAGCCAGGGGCACCATAGTTCCATTCCAGAAGAGGCCAAGAGCCCTATCAAAATTTAAAAGGCCAGGGGGAAATATAGATGTGATTCCACTTAGTGGGACAGGGTTATTATAAAAGAAATGAGGTTTAGGCTGAGTGTGGTGGCACACCCCTTTAGTCCCAGCCCTTGGGAGGCAGAGGCAAGCAGATCTCTGAGTTCGAGGCCAGCCTGAACTATGGTCTTACTATGGTCTACATAGTGAGTTCTATGCCAGCTGGGACTACAGGGAGACCCTGTCTCAAAAAGAAAAAAGAAGCGAGGTTATACTAAGTGACAGGAACTGAATTTGGTGGAATGTGAGTGAACCTAGATGACCACTGAAGTGTAACCTGGAAGACTAGAAAGGACATATTGAACATATTATTTGACCCCAAGGTCTCTCTAATGTAGAATGTTGTGCATCTTGGCCCTGGAGAGTAACAGTGAGCAAATATTAGAATAAGAGATGGTGTAAATGTGGGGCGTTCAACATACCTGGGGATAAACTAGAAGTACCTGTGATTTTACAATCGTCTCAGTCCCTGTCAGGGCTCACATAGCCATGGCAGTGTTTGTCTTGAATGGGTGAAAGACTCTCTTTCTGTTGAATCAAATACTACTACATGACTACACTTCCACACTATTTATTTGGGGATGGGTGGGGGTGGCAACAGCCTAGTAGTTCAGGTACCTGATAACTGCCCCATTCTTTTAAGGGCACACTTCTGCTAAGGAGTGCTTCATACTGCTGTGTTTGGGACACTTAGTCCTCTTCCTGCTTTGTTTTCTGTATCTGTCTTTAGAATGAATTTTATTCATCTCAGGACAGAATAATCAAGGACAACCAAAATTCGTTTGTTCTAGTACCTCTGCTGTTACCATTCTAGGCTCCTCTGTGTCGTGGAGTGAAATTCTTGCATTATTGGTATTACAAGTGTCAGAATGTGATAAACCTAAACTACGGTACCTTCCCTTTGCTCTGGAATTTCATTTTTTTCCTTTCCCTAAGTTGTATTGACCTGCAGAGTTAATTTTCTTTGTATTTTTTTAAGAAAATATTAAAAATCAACTGTCTCAGAATTTGTGGCTGGCTAGTTCTACCTTTAGCAGGCATTTCAGGAAAAATCCATTCCCTTATCATGATGTCCTTACCTCCACCCTTTTCCTCACCATCTAGTCTGTTCATTTTGTTGTCAGTTCCTGAAGTTCCAATATAATCATTTCAGTATTTAATATACCATTGATTATTGGTAAATACTGGTTTCTGTATTTGAGTTCCATAGATTCCTGTTGCCCATACTATAAAGTCCAAATTTCAGTTGACATCAGACCCATGGTGATCAGGGCCCATGCTACTGTTATGTCATTATTGCTCTCTCTTCTTCTAGGTATAATATGCTTCAGAAATGGTATACAGCCATTCCTAAATTCCATCATATTCTAGTTCAAATATACTGTATCTGAAACCTTGCTTTACTGACATTCTTAATACCTAATTAAAATGTCACATGGTAGCTAAACCATCTGTAACTCGTTCTAGAGGATCAGCCACCCTTTTCTGTTCTCCACTGGCATTGCACAATTCGGGTGCACTTATATACATGCAGGCAAACTGTTCATAAAATAAAAATAAAATGTCACCTAGATAAAGCCCTTTAGAACTCCCTAGACAGAACTCCCTAATTCATGCCTCATTTACAGTACTTTGTTCCTGTAGTTGTTATATTACCATTAGATTTGAGGCTGTTTCTGTTAGGCTATATTCTCATATAAAAATGCTGGTCATCGTTTCTTCAAGGGGTGTGAACTAATTGCAAAAAAAAAAAAATGTGCATTAGGTTAGACATTAACCAAGTAGCTTAATTCCTTGTCATTCTGATGTCCTAGCCATTTCTGGAAACTCATGTTCTGTTACACTAGAACATTCTGGAGATAGAAAGATGGAATGGTAAGGCCTTTGATCCCAGCACTCAGGAGGCAGAGACAGGCCTGGTCTACGTAGTGAGTTCCAGGACAGCTGAGGCTACAGGGAAACACTGTCTCAAAAAAAAAGATGCATCGGGACCTACAGATTGAAAACTGACATCTGATCTTCGCCTTCCTCGTGCATTGGACAACCCCTCTAAGAAAAATGACTACGTTTCCACTAAAGATCGCTTTGTTGCATAATAAATGGTCACTATTGATGGTCACTGTTGCAACATACTAAAATGACGCAACTTTTCCAACACTAAAAATGCACTCTGCATTCTAGATTGCTTCCTACAGACGAAGCAGATGTACTGTAACTAAACCTTGCTGAGGCGTAATCTGACCCATACTACTTCACACTACCCCCAGTACCGTCTCCATCCACAGGGCAACTAAAATCTCAGAGAACAAATGGCAAAGCTATCTAGTGACCTGCCTGGGCCAATATTAAGGGAAGCCCAGTGACCAGGCTTTGTCACAGGTCCCACCCGGGAAGTGCCCGTCACAAAGCCAAGCTAACACTTCCTTTGGGCAAAGAAGGGCGCTTGCGCGGCAGAGCCTAGACGCCTGCGCAAGATAAGTAATCTTGCGCTGGCGCCCCGCCTCTGCTAGATCCGCGCCAGCGCAGCCCAGACCGCGCGTGCGCACTGGTAGCCGAGACTGTGGCGGTGCGGCAATGGAACCCGTGGAGCTGCAGAACGAGCTAGTGTCAGCAGAGGGCCGGAACCGGAAGGCGGTACTGTGCCAGCGGTGCGGCTCCCGGGTGCTGCAGCCGGGGACGGCTCTCTTCTCCCGCCGGCAGGTAGGGAGGCCGATAGAGCCGCCTTTTCGCATTAGCCCGCAGCGGCCCGAGCGAGAGTCTCAATCCCCACTCCTCGGTTTCCAGGGACCGCGCCCCTCCTCGCGCTCCGAAGCGCCGCCCCCAGCGCCAGGCCCCGCCCCCTGCCTGGCTGCTTTGGGTGTCGCTCCACCCTCTGCAGTCCTGGCTGCCGAATCCGGCGGTACGCTGTCTGTGGTATGGACTGCCTGAAAGTTTCCCCACGGAGGCCCATTCCCTGTGCTCTTACTCCAGGCAGTGGCCAGAGGTGGACCTGTCCTGAGCCGGTCCTCATGGGGCCTCCGGGGTCGGGGTCTCTGGAGCGTGGCCAGCTCCTCCCGCGCATGCCGAGGAAGGAGCAGACCCAAGCTTCCTGCTTCCTAGAGCTCTGGCCCACCTGCTGTGTTCTGCGCATGCATCTTCTAGCCGCCACCTGGTGTCGACCCAGAGCACAAGATAGTGATGGATTCCTGTTCCACCACAGCCCACTTCTTCAGTCAGTTCTTCCTTTACCTCATTACCCGTCTGCTCCTCACAGGAGCTCCAGAAACAACTTTAGTGTAGAGAGTAGCGCAGAGTAACTGCTGATACATACTTTCCGAGGGCTCCGTGAGCCACAGTTCTCAGGATGACAGTTAAGTGAGACAGATATCTATAGTTATGGAAATAAATTTCGAAGGAAGACAATTCTTCCGTTTAGTACTTTTTGTAAAAGTGGGATTTTTTTTTTTTAAGGTTGGCAAAGTTAAATTTTAATTAAATTGAAAGTAAGCGAGACAGCAAATCCTCGCAAGAAGAGAGGATCTGGAACTGGAATCCCTAAAGTAGGACATTTTAATACCCTTCCTACCACCATCACCTAAGTGAGAAAATTGAGAAGAAAATAATATGCATAACTTTTTGTTGTTGTTGTTGAAGTATAACTTACCTATAGGATAGTACAAAGTGTAATCTCACTTCTACCAATGCCTGTGTCCTTACCACTTTAAATGGTCTTAAAAAAAAAAATCACTGCTAAGGTTGAACAGACTTGGTAAAGTGTAATGTATAGTATATCTGCTCCAAAAGTAGAATCGTCATAAAAAGGAAAAAAGAATCAGTGTCTTCCTTGTTCTGTTTTGAGGACTTCCTATCAACAAAATGGGCGAACTTCCCTGTTTGTCTTGATAAGATTTTCAAAGACTCCCATTTGTTTCTTCCAAGTGCCATAATGAAGGGGTGGAAGGAAGGTGGAAATGACACATGGAATTGAATCCTGATCTAACCACTTATTTACAGTGGAAGTTGTTTAACCTCCATGAGCTTGCTCATTCTAAAAAAGTAAAGGTGGTGAGTAGAGAAGAATTTGGAAACATTCAGCGCTGCACTTCATATACTGTGCATAACATAGGTCAGTTCTTGTATCCTTTTCCTATGGCAGTGCTGGCTACTTTTGTAAACTGACAAATTAGAGGTTCCTGAGTGGGGTGTGATGATGGCACAGGATCCTAGCACCCAGGAGGCTGAGGCAGGAGGATAATTCTCAATGTCATAGCCCGCCTGGTCTACCTAGTGAGTTCAGGGCCATCCAGGGATACATAGAGTCTATCTATAAATAAGTCTTTTTAAAATTAAGAAGTTCTGGGTCTGGAGAGATGGCTCAGTGGTTAAGAGCACTGGTTGCTTTTGCAGGGGACCCAGGTTCAATTCCCAGCACCCACATGGTGGCTTACAATCATCCATAACTACAGACTAGATCCAGGGGATCCTGCACCCTCTTCTGACCTCTGAGGGCATTCCACAACATGGGTGCACTTACACACATACAAGCAATACACTTATACACACAAAATAAAAATAAAATATTTTTTTAAAGTTTCTTGAAGGAATTTATAGTTTATGTTTAAAAGGTTTTATTTAAATTGATACTGCAGACAAAAACTGAGCAAATTAAATGATACATGTTGCACATTATATTTTGTCTCCCAACTGAATGGCTTCTATTCTAGAAATGATTCTGTGTTTTATTTTTTCCGTTTTTATTTTGTGTGTATATGTGTGATGTATGCATATATATGTGTTTGTTAGGTGTATGCCCTGTATAGTGCATGCATGTGGAGGCCAGAGGTCAATATCATATGATACATATCTTCTATCACTCTTCACCTTATTTTTATTGAGTGTGTGAATAGGTATTATGTATGTGCATGAGTGTAGGCATGTTTGTGCGACAGTGCTCATGTGGAGGTCAGAGGTCATGTGGCGGTCAGAGGTCAACCTCAGGAGTTGATTCTCTACACCTTGAGATCAGGGGGCGATCTGACTAAGATCATCAAGCTTGTGCTTGAACAAGCATATTTACCTGTCCAGCCCTATGACTGGCCTTTTCTTAGGTTTCAAGACAAAAATCACTCATTGAACCTAGAGTGTGCGGGTTTGGCTAGGCTGGCCAAAGAGATCTGGAGATCTATCTCTGTTCCTGCCTGTGTTCTCCCACACACACACCTATCACTGGGATTTGAGGTATAACTACCACACCCGGCTTTTGCATTGGGGTTAGAGATGGGCACTCATGCCCTTTTTGCTTGCCTGGCTAGCACTTTACACACTGAATCATTTCTCCTGCCCTCTTTCTCTTCTTTTTAAAACAACATTTTTGTTTGTTTGTTTGTTTTTTTTGTGTGTGTGTGTGTGTGTGTGTGTGTGTGTGTGTGTGTGTGTGCAGTGTGTTTTACCATAGCTTTAGTGTGTCTGGAAATTTCCTCTTTCTTGAAAAGGACTGTTGGCAGAATCCTATCCCTTTCTCTGAACTCTAGCAATTCAATTCTAATCCAACCTAATACTCTTAAGTTCACTCTAATTTTGTTTCTCCTTTTCAGAAATACTAATTCTAGAAAAACATAATTTCTAGGACATGTTATGAATGTGAAGTTTTTAAAAAAAAAACTCATGGAACATTCTAACCAGTTATTACTCCCTCTCATGCAATGTGTCAAGAAAGACAAAAGCCACATAGTTCCATAGTGTAGCAATTATCACATCTGCTTTATACTCAGAAGGTTCTAGATTCGGTCCCCAGTGGAATCGTGTTGTGAATTGTTGGGGCTGGAAAATGGTTCTGGGGCTAAGAGCACTGGATACTCTTGCAGAGGACCCAGGTTTGGTTCCCACCACCCACATGGCAGCTCACAACTCTCCCTAACTTTAATTCCAGAGACTCTGACTCCTGGCCTCTGTGGGTATTGCACAACACGAGTGCACGTATATACGTTCAGGTAGAACACTCATAAACATAAAATAAATAAAAAAGAAAGACAAGGGACTGGAGAGATGGCTCAGCAGTTAAGAGCACTGATTGCTCTTGCAGAGGACCCGGGTTCAATTCCCAGCAACCACATGGTGGCTAAAAAATCTGTTACTCCAGTTCCAGGGGATCTGATGCCTGCTGACCTCCTTGGGCATTGCAGGACACAGTGCACTTACATACATGCAGGAAATACACTCATACACATAATAATAAAATTTTGGGGTCTTTTTGAGACAGGGTTTCCCTGTAGTCCCAGCTGGCCTTGAACTCACAGAGGTCTTCCTGGCTCTCTCTCCCGAGTACTGGGATTGCTTCATCACACCCAGCCAATAACATTTTTTAAAAAACAGTTTTTAAAAAGAAAGACAAAAGCCCTTGTCCTTACAGAGAACAAAGCATTTGTAATTTGAATGGCATCAAACTCCTCAACTGAAAACTCATAAAGCTTTACCATACCTCTTTAGTCATTACCCTGAAATGTTGAAACCATAAAGCTATTCTTGCAAGGCTGGTATTCATTGCCGTTGACAAGGTCCTTCCATTCATTACATGAACATGGAGAGGCAGGGTATAACGAGTTCTTAGAGGCCCACAGCTTTCTCATTCCACCCAATAAGCCTAATATGATCTCCAGATGGGAAAACTTTGAAAACTAAACTCTACCAATCCCAACATTGACATGATCTAAGGCCAGGGATGCTGCTTAGATCATTCTGTCTTCCATTTCATAGTCTAAGGCAGTGTGATTTTCAACTGGGAATCAGTTTGTCTCCAAAGGGAAAAATCTAGAGACATTTTTGGATATTTTTTGGTAGTAAAAATTGGGAAGAGATGCTACTGAGACGTCTACTAGGTGGAAGCCAGGGATGCTGCTTAGAATCCTGTGATGCCCAGACCAGCCCTCAACAGCAAAAAATTCCCCAGCTCTAAATGTCAATAGTTCTTGAGGTCCAGAAACCCTGGTCCCTAGACTGCAAAGCACTCACAGCTCTACCACCTCACTTGATTTTATTAAATTATTAAATTCCTGGTACTGTTTGTTACTTGTACCACTAGGCCGAGGTCTTGTCCATGTGTGAATCTCCTATCCCTGGACTGTATACATAGGAGAAAATATAGGAAATATTTGAACTTAAAGTAAATTAATGAATAAAAGCTATTAGTCTAAAATAAATAATGGGTTGTTATAGATACAGTGGATCAATATTGATTGTTTTATTAATCTTTTTTTTTTTGAGACAGAGTCTCACATAGTCCAGGCTATCTTTGAACTCCCTTTGTAGCTGAGAATGACCTTGAACTTCTGATTCTTCTCCCAAGGCCTGGGATTACAGGCATGTACTTCCATGCCCAGTTTGTGTGGTTCTGGGGACAGAACCCAGGATTTAATGTATGCTAGGCAAGCAGTCTACCAACTGAGCTACATCTGCAGCCCAGGATCAGTATTTTAGTTGTGCCATTATTCCACTGTGTGCAGCATAACTTTTGCAAATATATCTTGGGGATGAGAGACAAGTTTAAACATAGAATTTTTTGTTTCCTATCCACCTTTTCACATAGGCTGAAGATAATTTTAACAGTATTTTTAGAGAGCCTGTATTTTGTTTATAATCTATCATATGAGGTCAAGTATGGAGTTTTCCACTTGTAGTGCCATAGAAGTGCTCTGAAAGTTTCAGACATCAAAGCATTTCAGATT